CATGCCTTTAAACCCCCTTTAAACAGTGCCTTTAAACCTATCTGAGCTCTATGTTTAAGCCAAATTTCGCTGTCTCATTGCCAGAAATCACCTACTGGTAAATACTTACAGACTACAACGTCGTTACCTAAATCGATTCAAACATTCACGGACTTGCCAGAAATGAAATCTACGAAGGATGTATTCCCGTTACCGGTACTAACAACTAGTCCAACGACAACAGAGAGTATCATCACTACAACCAAGAAAGCCGCTACTAAACCGTCCATTGTAAAAACCATAGGACCGGTAAGTTCAGGTGAAGGCTTGATTGGGATTTACACCTTTTTTTTAAACCTGTAAACATTTTTATAAGAAATGGGAGCGACTTCGGACAACTACTCCTTCCCCGACAACGGCCACACCTGTGCCGATTTTCACTTTGTTTCCTGCTACTAAGCAACTATCGTACGTCCTTTATAAATATTTATCTTACTCGTTCATTACTCTCAATATTCCATTTCATTTCTTGAATATTGATTTTGTAATTATTACGAAATATCATTCAGAATCATCAATATTCCATTTCATTCCTTGATTTTCGGTTCTGACAACTATCACAAAGTATCATTCAGAATCACTGATGCCCCAGTTACTCGTACACCATTACCTGAAACTACAGAAACGCCACCAAGTAGTGGACCCGGAGGTCAGTTTGGTTCTTCCCGCCATGCTACGGTATCTGAAGAGCTGGGAACGTTGGCCACCAGCTATCTCCCCAACTTTGGGCCACCCATTTGCAGACATTCCCTTTGGCCCTTGTAAAAGTTTGGTAATGTGTGATCTTATATGATATTCTGGTCGATCGAGTATATTGGGACTCAAATATGTCATTTCCACATTTAAGGGATACCCAAAAAGCATTTATGGGAAGCCATAAATCTATTCTGCTATAGAAAATTGCCCAGTAAACAAATTTCCGTAATTTTTTAGGATGCAACTGTGGCGATTGGTCTGAATGGGTAGGGGAGTGCTCTCAACAATGTGGAGGATGTGGACATCGTGTCAGAACGAGGCAATGCCAAAAGAAGGATTGTCGGTAAGCAGTGTTGTTAGGTAACATTTGATGATTGTCGGTCAACTTATTGTATGCAATTGTCACTTTATTACTTGGCAATGATCCGGTGGTTGAAACACACCGAGCCTAAAAAGAAGTGCAAACTCACCATCAGAAGATAGTGGAAGCTCGATGAACCGATCCAGCAGATCTGAAGCAACGTGAAGACCAAGTTGCTTAATTTGGAAGAGTGTGCAGAACCGCTGACTGCGTTGGGAAAGCCATCGGACGGAAGATACCTAATGCTTGGAGAGTGACCTAGCCGAGATAATGGTAGTTGGTCGGGCGTAAAAGCTCGAATAAACGCGGCATGAGTGAAGTAGAAGAAGTATTCTCTGCGATCGACGGTGCTCCAGGACGCCCAAAGGAATGCTGTACGGGACAGTGTCGAAGCCCACGATGCATCATGGCAGTGAGTGCTGACCCTTAAGCAAGAATTGTGAAAGACAATCCCAGTTGACTGAAATAAGTATGCTCACATGGGCTCGTAATATGTTCGGGCAAAATCAGAAACGAGGACTTCAGAACGGTCATTTGAGCATAGAGAGGGCGGTCATGAGAAGAACACTTACTGAGAAAGCCACAGAATCATCCGATAAAATCCCTCCTTTAGGAGGGAAAGGAATTCGAGGCTCAAAGGTAGTGATAACGAGGAACCCAGAAAAGAAGTGATCAAGAAGGACCTCGACGAAGCTAAAGTAACGTCGGATGTGCTATGGAAGAAGCGGAGACAACATGCAAAACCAGTGGACCCTGTGAATGCGCGGGGTTAACGCTAGGTAGGAGAAAAAGCCTTGGGGTACGCTCCCGCTGTCGTCTCCATTTGAATCGTAGTAGCGTATTGAATCGTGTCGGACTTCTCAGTGCCACGAACAAGTCACTGCTTCTTCCATCACAGAAAACTCGTGTACCAGTTAACTAGAATTCAGACTATTACAAAATATTCTTGGGTCTGTTGCTGTCGTAATTAGTCTAACCTCATTTCACTGTAAGACTAATGTTTGCCCTGATATTCGATATCGTCAAACCATGAAAATGGTACTGCATGAACCACTATGGAATCGGTCAGGGATTGATTCGGTAACCAATATTCATAAAACCTGTGAATGTGGGATGTTCTTGCTCTTCACTTGTCAACAACCCTGCTCCCCCCAAAAATTTTTCTTCATTCTAGCCTAAAATTTTGAAATTTTTTTCTGCGGTTTTGTCTTGCTTACCATAACAAACGACAACAGTCAGTAGACCCTGATTGAGCCGTGCTTCAGCAACACCTTCTTTTTCAGGAATGAGGACAAACGAGCATGTAACTTTGGTGTTTGTCCTACAGGCACCAACTTCCTCATCAATAACGGAGAGTTTCACATTCTATGGCGTGGTTGCTGTGTTGGCCTATTCAGGTGAACATTTCAAAGTTTTTTTTTTTCGTTCAACACTTGTTCGGAAAAAAGGTTTGCATGGTGAGGGCCTACAGATCATCCATCGTTTTGCGTATACTAGGGTATTGCAGCTTTATCTAATTTGCCACATGACTAATAGTTTTCCGGCAGCAAGAGACGCTTACACTCTTGCTTTGTGTTTTACCTTCATACGATTCTGTTTTGGGATACGCCGCGCGTTTGACACCCATCCAGAATGCTGGGGCCGTTTCAATGTGATTTGGTTTATACGAGCTTGGTGGAACAACTCGGTGAACAAATCAGGGCTTGCACTCGAGTTCGGGACTTCCTCCTTTCCTAAACTCAATAGTAANGGGGGGGGGGGGGGGGGGGGGGGGGGGGGTATGAGAGCGATCTTCAAAGGCTAGCATATATAAAGTTGCTGTAATTTATAAATGATGTCATTGCAGATCTGGTAATGAATGCACCGCCTTGGAAACCGAGCAAAATCCATTTTTAAAGATAATCAGTTCTTTGCTCAATATACAAGATGCTAAGAACAACAGCACCGAGGGTCCGGTCAAGATTCGGCGAGGAGAGCACTAAAATTGAGAATATGTGTTGTACATATTAGAGCAAAGTCGTTTGAGTCATTTAATTTACTTGTCATCGAATTGTCCTATGGGCGGGCATGTCAAAAGAGGCGGAGCTCCTCGCAGATTATCACTACTGTCTTTCTTTGCTAGCTTGAACTAGACGGTTGAGAGTCTTTCACTGGAAAAAAATATTTCATAAAATATTTCACTGGATTTCCTGCTCTACGCATATTGTTTATTGCTGTGATTGTTTACGAGATCAATTGGTATACAAGAGTCATAACTTGTCGTAATCTCATGCAATAAATCATTGAAGAGTTAAAATCCAAAGGGTTCTCATATAGTAATCATCGAGTTGCTAGTCCTCGCACTATGACTTTACCCCACAGGTTCTGCATTCAACGAGAGCGATTTAAATTTGGGATCTGCAGCAGTGACTTATCTCTCGATAATTTGACGATGAAACTTTTAGCAGGGCTGCGCTTCAGCTGTATTCTCTCATTTTTATTGGTGAAGTTGAAGGTTTTCTTTGTTAAACCAGATTACTTGATTACTTACTCACTGTCTGCCTCCCTCCTCCCCCCTAGCACTGCCTCCGCCGCCACGCCGGACTGCCGGCTGGCGGACTATGAAAGCAGCCAATGCAGTCACCACACTTTCGCTGCAATCAATTTCTATCCTCTGCACTACACTGAAACTTTTGGTGGATAGTAATTAGTATAGCACGGAATTCTACATTCTCAGCCACAAAGTTTCAAACCCTCAGAGTGTTCATTGAGGAAAGGAAATGATTTTGATCGATCTCGCTCTCGCATAGTAAAAGCACTATCTGTAGGAGATGCTTGAAGATGAGAGCTAACGATTGCTCGTTACAATACCTTTCACTAAAAGTTTGGCTAAGACACCGTTCTTACTATAAAAGAGCAACTTAAAATTATGCAATAACTTCTCAATCCTCGATCTTTCAGTTAGGTAAAGCCTCGATTTCAGTTCCTCCACCCTTCATTAACAAAAGCGGTGTCTTCAGTTCACCAGCTTTTCTCTATGTTGGTTCCGTGTGTCAACTCCTTAGATGAACTTTCCAGTACATATTGTGCATTTTCAGTGTTATCGTAAGCCCTTCCATCAAAATTTTGCCTGGAACCCAATACTAACATCTGGTTTATTATAGAAAAATCGTGTGACTTGGTGACTACCAAACCAAAACCAAATTGATATGAAATCACCTGAGTGCTGCTCGAAATTTTCTCCTTCACTGTTGATTTTCACCCTGGTTCAATAATCCTGGGTACTTTGCCTCGAAAGGGAGGGAGCCAGCACGCTCGGTGAATGACTGAGCTGCTGAGAGGTTTCCTACTTTAAGTCGGGTATGAACACTGAAGCGCTCCTTCAATTTTTGTCCTTAGGTAGAATGGAGCAAAGTTTGGTGGAATCATCCAAATCTGAGCTTTTCTTCTTCTTGTGGCTTTTAATTCTTAGGTTTGTCTTCACGACATCATCAAAAGCTTGCTGAAACGTCTGCAACTGTCTCGAAGTTGCAGGAAACAACCGATCACCTCTCATAACTGCCCTCAATCTACAACAGGATGTACTGGACTGCTCACTAACCAAAGATTACTTTTTACTATGAATAACTTTAGTCTTCGGCTTATTGGATGGTGCTGATCTGCTTTCAGTTGATCTTCTAGGGTGTTCATCGATAATGGGCGCGAAATCCGCCAGCTCGGTGACCTCTGCTTCTGTCGCCCTTTGTGTCGTGCCGTTCGGACGACTTAAAGGCCGCCTCGCCTGGGCGCGCGCGTAGTCCCGCCGGGAAGGCACCGTACGCCGCAGAGAGCTAGAGTTTGCCACGTGGCGGCGGACTCTAGCCGCTCTAGGCGTTTGCATCATTCATTCGCCATCTTGTCAACGCCTCGGACGGCTGCTTTCTCGACTGCTCTTGTGCCTTCATCGTCAGCAATACCGACGTAGCCCCCGATGGGCTTTCAGCACCACTCGTATGCCATCTCTAAAGTGGTGACAAGCTGCAAGGATCGAAGTCGAATGGAACAACTGGAAGATGGTCCACTGCAATCAAGGACCCGGATGCACGTAGCCCAAAAGGAGGTGGGAAGGCTTGNAAAATGACTCAGAAAAGAGCGTCTAAAGTGAACGACAGAACTTTCTGAAACACCTAATACTATATTCTAAAGTAGCAAACATTTTGCAAAGTTGTTCCACTAATGACAAAATCGAATATTTGATCAGTCTGATGCTTGGATGTTGGAAAATCTCGAACGTAGATGCGTAGTTAAATGGATAAACAAGTAACGGGGGGTAGATAAGGTGCACCTTGTTTATGTGAACAAATAAAAAGGGATATGGTGCAGTACGTTCGAAATTGTCGCGTCGCGACGAGAGACGTCGCGAGCGAAGGAATGTAATGGAATGCAGCAGCAAGTGAGAAATACAGGAGCAAAAAAACTATTAGTGGAATCGTGCCAGAAGTAATAATCGCATAGCGATTGAACTGTATGAATAATGCCAGAACTGTTATAACGAGGCAAATAGTCCGCGACAGCCGCGTGCGGCGGATCGATTACCCAAAGCCATTCCTACTGCCCGTTTCCCAATGAAAAGCATACACCACATTAGCGTTGTACAAGTCAAGTGATGCGGACGAGTCGTCTGTTCCAAAAAGGCGTGAGATCCGTTGCCAAAGTCTGAACAGAAAATTTTTTTGAATGCTTATCTTATAGTGTATGAGTGAGTTCCTGAAGCTGACTGTTCTAGATGGTAGCCGTGGATGTTCGGTCTCGAAGAAGCATTTCGTGGCACAAAGGTCCTAGAAGCAACACAGCCCTAAGCAACATTGCAAAACGGCTTTGTTGCTTTCTGGGGCTTGTTCTTTCGTGCGCTGCAAGAGCAGATCTTATCCTTCTAGGAGGAAGTCAACCCTCTTGTTGGTTTCACAGGGGATCCAGCTCTCATCTACCGTGACCAGATACTGTAGAAACTCCTTCCGATTGAGACCAAGGGGTCCGATTGAGGGTGAGACGGATGCGGCACGTGCTCGAAAGAGATCGTCGGTCAGTTGGCGCGGAATCACCGAACGGGCTTCTTGTGACCGTTTTTGCGGAAGTGTCGACCGACGTTGTTCTGACTGCACCAG